TGAAGTTCTACTGTAAATACCACTGGATGAGGCTTTAGAAGCACTAAGAACACTTTGTTTATATGAAGAGCAGCAGGCAGAGGGTATCCCTAGCCTTATATATGAGCTAGATAAGCATGAGCATATCCTTTGGGGTCGAAAGCTAAGCCTACAGACGCAGCGGGACATTCGAAGCTATTTTACAGGCTAAATATATACTAATATATACTATCCTTGATATAACGAGAACCTCGATATAACGAGAAATATGGTCTGTCTGGAATATCTTGTTATAACGAGGTTTTACTGTAGTAACTACTATCCACTTTATAGGGTGGCAGAATTGAAAGAGTCAAAATCATTGTAAGGCGCTAACAGAACCACCAGGGTCCACCGGAGTAGATTGCGGCCTGAAATAGACCAATTGTTTAAGTGCAGAGGAAACCAGGCTAAAGAAATAGGTGCTTGGCACCTTGGAGTAAGAGTACCCTAGATATTCCGTAGAGTACGAAGATGGGTGTTTAGGCAGCTACTATCTACTCCAACACAAACCAAAAAGGTTCCAATGATCACTGCCCATGGAATCGCCAGCTCGATGATCAGCCTTCACTACGAGATGGAAGCTCCTTCAGATCATCCTTATCATCCTTGCCAGCTCGCTTTGCCGCGCTAATATGGGAGGATGAGGCAAGCATATACAACAAATCTGCTGTGATGTACTTCCGGCGCTGTCGTGCCGCAACCTTAGGCCTGACAAAGAATCATCCTTGACACTGCCTGCAAACACCGAGGGTTGATGTATTTTATGGTTATCAGCCGGCTATCACTCGTCCCATGCTTCTCTGACGGATGTAGTTGTATGTGTTCTGCGTGGATTAGGGTTAGGTAGCATCAACATTCTTAGTGAAGAAAACCCCAGACAGAGTGAGTATTCAACCTAACAATTTTTATATTTCAATCTCTCTTCCCTTAGGCATATGCGTATTGCTCATGGTCCAAGATGTTTATAGACGATTAAAACTTTTATATATATGTTTAGTAATTCGCATCAAATCAACCTATACTGAAGTATTAATTCAATATCCAATACCCATAGTACGATAGCAAAGAGTCCTATGTGGGATACTACATTAATTCGCAGTTTACTCGATTACAAGAACTACCTACTCCTGCCCGCCAATTACGATATATCCGTTGTGACTTCTATCATACGGCTTGGATGTCCTCTCCCTACCTAATTCGTTGGTCGCCATGCCTACAGCAACTTATGCAAAGATGGCGTGATGGGCGTGATGGGCGCTAGTTATCTCTTGGTTGGGTACATCGAGGAAGAGTAACGAGACATGCTTTCAAACCTGGCCTGTTAAGCAGTTCGATGCTAGGGCTAAGAACCGACTTGTTCCGTGATTCCTCGCGGATATTATTACTGACCGTCACCCGGAACCGCCGTACCAAAAATAGGCTCTTGTCATAAACATCAGAATGGGCTCTTGTGGCTGACAGTCGCCCAACCTTTACTCGAAATTCAGGACCTGAAAACCGAAGAGGTTCGCACAGAGATACCGGGCACTACATTTATTCCACGGTTGACTCGTATATGTCGGATATCTTTCGCATATCAACCAAATGCGATCAATGGGTACAGAGGACGATATCTACCAGACCTCTGCCTTGAGCGCAATGCGGAGAGAATGCCACTACTAGATTATCAGCTGACTGAAGTTCCATTCCTGTTTAAAGACGGTGAGTATCGTAAACAATAGGAGGAAGTCCAGACAGGTTCCCCAGAGAGACAGAGAAAGGAATGACAAAATTGAAGCTGAAAAGGGTTACTGTCGATCTTGCACGAGATGATGAAATTCAAGAGGGTTTATTCCTCGGCCTCATATGCCTCCTCCTCCTCGGCATACTGTTGCTCCTCTCCATCGGAGATACTGGCGTCCTGGTATTGTTGATATTCGGACATCAAGTCATTCATGTTACTTTCCGCCTCGGTGAATTCCATCTCATCCATTCCCTCGCCGGTATACCAGTGCAAGAAGGCTTTGCGGCGGAACATGGCCGTGAACTGGGTCGCCACGCGCTGGAAGAGCTCCTGGACGGACGTGGAATTGCCCACAAAAGTGGCCGACATTTTCAGGCCCTTTGGAGGCACGGAGCAGAGGGCTGTTTGAACATTATTCGGGATCCATTCCACAAAGTAACCGGAATTCTTGGTATGGATATTGAGCATTTGATCATCGACTTCTTTCATGGAGACCTTGCCGCGGCTGAGATTTGATTAGCTTTTTCTGGGGTGTCGAGTAGAAGGAAAAGCTTACAAAAGGGCAGAGCAGGTCAGAAAGCGGCCATTTTGAAAGTTGCAAGCGGTCATCATATTCTTGGAATCAAACATCTGCTGCGTGAGTTCTGGAACACTCATTGCGCGGAAGGACTGGGCTCCTCGACTGGTCAATGGAGCAAAGCCCACCATGAAGAAATGCAGCCTGGGAAAGGGAACCATATTAACCGCCAGCTTCCGAAGGTCGGAATTCAGCTGTCCCGGGAACCGAAAACTGGCAGTGATGCCGGACATGACCGTCGAAACGAGATGGTTGAGATCGCCGTACGAAGGGGAAGACAGCTTCAGCGTCCGTGTACAGATATCATAGAGCGCCTGTGCCTGTTAGCTCGCATCGACGTGGCGTGGAATAATCAGGACTGATATACCTCATTGTCGATGCAAAACGTCTCATCTGCGTGCTCGACCAGCTGGTGGATTGAAAGAGTCGCATTGTACGGCTCCACCACGGTATCAGAGACCTTTGGGGATGGCAGGACCGAGAATGTTGCCATCATCCGATCAGGGAATTCCTCCCGTATCTTGGAGATGAGAAGCGTGCCCATGCCAGCTCCCGTTCCGCCGCCCAGAGAATGGGTGATCTGGAATCCTTGCAGATAGTCACAGCTCTCCGCCTCACGGCGAACAACATCAATGACTTGATCCACCAGCTCTGCGCCTTCCGTGTAATGACCCTTTGCCCAGTTGTTGCCCGCGCTGGACTGCCCAAACACAAAATTATCAGGTCGGAAAAGGGCACCGTGGGGGCCGGAGCGAATGGCGTCCATTGTTCCCGGTTCCAAGTCGACGAGGACCGCTCGAGGGACATATTTCGAGTTGCCGACCTCGTTGAAATAGACATTCATCCGCTCCAGCTGCTGATCGGACGTGCCATTGTACCTGTGGCAGTGTCAGATATATCGTAAGCGACAGTGACCGGATCACTGACATGCCGGACTCATCGAGACCGTGTTCGCCGGAGATGGTTTGCCTGGGCCGTGTCAGAGGTAGGAACGGTAGAATTTGGGAGTAATAGACAGTTAAGCTGGAATTACCAAAAGGCAGCACCAACTTGGTTACCCTGGAAGGAGTATCAGAGCTTAGCATTACTTCAATTTCTCATGAGAACGGGGATTGACTCACGCATTGGCCGGTTTGAAGATGAACCTTTATTCAAGCATAACCGAGATCAGAGGTCAGCGATCTCGACGACAGGATATTCCGAAGTCAGTGAGCGGACTCACAATTTCACGCATGTTGGTGGGCAGATACGAGTATTTAGATTCAAAAATGAAGGCGAGTTGGGGGATAGGAGACGATCGTAAGATAGGAGAACAAGAGCTGTTGGAGTCGGGAGGTTAGGCGCCTAATTCATAAAAGACCGACTAGTGATTTATTTCAACGCCGCTAGTAAGATACAGATTACAGACAGAGCTGGGGTTATGGATAGGTAGGAATGGGATATCTGATATCATGTCACGCCTGCATTATGGCATCTCTTGACACGGCCTGCCATTCGTGGAAATTCATACATTTGCAGACTAGCCAGGATTATCAACTAGAGATTGGTCAAGGACCTCATGACAACGCACAGTTAGGTACCTAACATAACTCAGGCATGTGTGTATGTATGCAAGGGAGCAAGGGAATGCCAACAGTGTAAAGTCTGACTTGGTGAGGTGTTAAAAAAACATACATCATATGTTCGTCCACAATCTACATGATATTAATTCTGTATAGATACAAGCCCACTCCGCTGGGTAGTGACTAGGTTTATAAGTCGTTTGCTCAGCTATCTTGCCGTAGTATTTTTGATTGCGTATTATAGAATTAAAATACAGCTAGGCTAAAAGGTGTCCGGACGATGTCCTCCGTGGATAGTGAAGGATTACATATCAGATAACAAACCCTGACGTCTCCGAACCCGCAACCTGATACTTAGGATAGCCTGTCTAAATAAAAGATCTGTCACCGTAAGAACTGTGCTACGCACCAGCAATCATGGTTCATGACCGGGCTTCGGCGATTTCGGCGATTCACTGATTTAGCAGGGCTGGTCCTCTGACACAGCCCGAAATAGCAGCCACAGTACAGTTGCATCTTGCGACACTAGAAGACCTTCATCGCGCATTTCTGCTGCTGCCTAAAGATAATTGGCCTCTTGCTTGTGTTCTTCGCCATGGCTGCCTTGTCTGGTTTCGTGCAACGCCCCTTCGAACAGGACTATGGCACATTACGGGCCTTGGTGGCGCCGCTATACAGGTGAAATGGAAGTCTTCATCTCTTTTTCTCACCTGTCTAATGTTTCCCTAGACATTTTATAGGCGATTGATGCTTACAATGGATGAACCTGCGAAGTCATTCATCGCTTGCGCAAGGAATATGGTCCCGTGCTGCAAGTTGGTCCACAATCTCTGTTGATTATCATCGGGTTCCAACGCCACCATTCCCGCCATTCCGCGATGAGGATGGTTTTGAACGACAAGTGCCGCTTTCCATCACACGAGAGTACGCTTGGGAACAACAACAACTTTCCCCTGGATTTGAAGACATTCAGTAGCACTATTGGGCATATACATGCATGGTTCCCTCAATCTCAATCGGCTCGGCTGGGCATTCAATCAGGCACTAGCGCCACGACGCGTTTCGCACATGTTTTATCGCAGATCCGGACGGCTCAGCGCAACCCATGCAAGCCATTATGCGGTGGCCGCAAGCCTACTTTGAAGCCGTCAAGGTTGCAGACAAAGTCGCCGCTAAGGAAGGCTTCAAGGATCTCGAAGATTACAAGTACGATTTTGGCAAAGGGTGACACTCTAAAGGTCGTCGACTTTCCATTGGCGGCCCACTGATCACCTTCCTATCATTGCTTACCATCGCCTTGTCGGCGATGGCTGGACAACTGAACATCTCTTCGTCGAGGCCGGTCTAGGACCTCTTGAGACCCTGTTGAGGGCTTAACCTACTACCTAAATCTAGTAAGGTGGAAAACCTCGCAAGGTCTTGACTATGCTTTTCATCACTTCTCATCGACCATCAAATTTACTACCCCAAGGCTATCGTCGTTAGGTGAGTTAGGACGATTAAATTGGTCAGGAAGTATATGGGCTAGAAATAGAGGAATCTCTTCTTAAGTGTGGTTAGCGGCGCGTTTGATATATTATATAGATAGTGGTTGAGGAGCTCATCAAGGTCTTGATTTATATGTGATCTACATAGAATCCAAAACCTTTGCCCTTGCCTTAACTACCCGAGGCCTTGCTGAACTGGCTGCCAGTCGCAGGTCAGAGCTTTCTAGATCTGGCCGGTTGATACGGGAAGAGGGGCCACCCGTCTTGTAAGATCTCTAGTCTCTACAGTCCCTAGCGCGTCCGTGAGGCGTCACCTCTTAAATACAATCGGAAACCACGAAAAGAGCCTAAAAGCGCCGAAAAACGCCGGTCACCTCAAAACGCCGTGGGTCGCTCTTCCCCTAGTCTGACTCTGACCGCAGTCGCAAGCTGTCAACAAGTTGCTCCTCAAATTTTTACTCCCGCATTTTTCCAGATCAGAAACACACCTGTTCCTCTTCCATCCCCAGTCCTTCGTGTCGCGCGCATCCACCACCGCCGCAATGGCTGCGTCTCACACTGTTGTGGCCCCGGCCGCCCCGAGAAGAAGCTTGAGGGCCTCAGCCTGTACTCTCGGTTCGCTTTTGCCGGTGCCGTCTGCTGTTCTGTCACCCATGGTGCCTTCACTCCAGTTGATGTGTATGCTTATCCATCGGCTTCGGCTCTAGTGCCCAATGTTCGCGACTTACTGACACTC